AAAAATAATTCTAAAAAAAAAAAAAAAAAAAAAAAAGTCAGTCTGGGATAGATGGCCTTCGGAGAAACAGTCTTCAGAAAGCTCATGGGGAATGCGTATCGTGAAAACTAAGATGTGGAGGCTGGCAGGTGGCAGGTGGTCGGGGTGCTGCAGATGAAGACGCGAAGGAGCGGGTTCCAAACTGCTCAGGAAAGTCAGGCTGTAATTCCGTTCCCCACGAATCGTTTAAAGTCCCCTCATGTTATTATGGACATTTATAGTGACTGTTGCGCATTCGTGGATGAGAAAATGCTTCCCAAGCCACGCTAATTCCATGCTCTGTATAAAAATTAATCTCGCCTCGACAGCCCAGCCCTGTATCTGGGCTTTATGACCCGTGTCATAACTATGACAGACAGCCGTGTGGTAGGCCTGATCCTTCTGGAGTGTGGATTACGTAAATGGAGGGTCATAAACATGAGAGGGTCTGGTATGAACAAATTAGACCCTTCTACTCTTTCTGGACAAGAGGGATTTGTAACTAACACATCTGTGAGGTCAAGAGGACTTCTACCCTTGAGTGAAACCATCGGGCTGGCGGGGGAGTCATGGCATATTTTTGTTTTTCTTTGCAGAAACATGTCGTGACTTTGCCAGAGTTCTAGCAGCTGGGCCCACTTTGTGGACTGTGTGACAGCCACTCGGAGGGTGATAGCTTTGAGGCTAGCACGACAGACTCCCAGCATCTTGGAATGGCTTCAGGGCCTCTGAGGGCAACGGATTTGACACGAGGAGCTACTTGAGCACCCTGCGGCCCTTCACCAACCCGCACTGCTTTCCTGGCTTCCTGAATAGCCCTGTGCATAATTGCTTATACACCTGCGTTCGCCTGATGTGACGCATAGTAGAGTGTTGGCAGCACTTTAAGGGAGCAGCGTGTCCCAGCGTGGCACCTCTGTCGAGGGGCAGGGTGCTGCCCTGCCGTGTCTCAGAATTACTCGGAGGTCGGTCGCTTTCTCGAGTGGTCAGAAAGCCGGAGCGCCCTC